TCTTTCCCATCCCCGCCTCCTCCCAGGGACCTGCTCCTGTAAAATGCCTCCTCGTCTAGGTTCCCAGAATATCCTACACATCAAAGGCGATATGAGGGCTGGGGATGGGGGAGGATTAGGACAAGCGGGGCTGGGGGCACCACTCAGTTTGTCCCAGAGCCATGAAAAAGAGTCACCTGGACAATCCAGCTCCTAAATCTCTCTCGACTCTTCCCCGACACATGCTGGGTTTGCCTGCGAGCAGCTGGGACTGACACTTAATGGGGAGGGGAAGGAGGAAGGCTAGTACCACAGCTGTAACCCCCATGTGGGACTGGGCGCTCTTCGGCGAACAGGGCTGCATGGGACCCGCCCCCCCAGCTATCCCTAGCAAAGGAGCCGCCGCTTCAGGCCCCGATCCCTGCTCACATTAGCCTGCAACATGTTGGATGGGGGTAGGGGGTGGGAGCTGAGCCACACTCTCTGGGGAGCCCCAACAGGTATTGCCTGCCGTTTAGACACCAGCCTGCTGACAGATGGAATCTGATGCAACAACCGCAGCGGTGTTGGGGAACCCAAAGCTGGTTTCAACCACTGTCCAGCTCACAAGAGGGTCTAGCCAAGATCTAGGCCTCTGGCAGCCCAGGCAATAAGCAGCCTGGCACAGGGGAGGGGTTCTCATCCCCAGCCCAAAAGCTGGTTCATTTACTCGGCTTGGGAAGAGGATGGGAGTCAATCGCTGGCCCTTCCTGGGGCACAATCCCCATTGCTGCCCCAGGAGTTGGGCTCCAGCCCTGCCTTTCCATGCAGCCCTGGGCTGAACGGGCCAGCTCAAGAGCAGGTGAGAAAGCCCAGTGCATGGCACCCTTTCTTTCTGCACAGGACAGCCCCTGGCTGTCTCCCTAGCCAGCTTCTTGGCAAAGGCCCCAGCAGAAAAGCACTTGGTTCTCAACCCTGCCGGTCAACAACTGCTGGTGGCAGAACTGGCATCACTGGGAGCCCCAGGGGCAGTTGGCCTCGCGTTGACTCACCTGTGAGTTTCCGAAGCAGTGCGGGCTTAGCCCGGGAGCGCGATACAGTGCGTGGCTCCCAACTGCCGCCTTTCCAGGAAGGGGTTTGAGTCTGAGAGCTGAGCTCATAGGAGGCTCCCCTGGGTGTCTCCCAAAGTCACCTTGGTCCAAGGTCTTAAAGGGTCTGGAGACATGGTATGGGTTCATGCTTTCCAAATCTCTTTCATCTGGAAATCAGGATGGAAATTTCATGAGAACGAGCTTTTTGTAACAGTTCCAGTACATCCTGCTTCCAGCTGGATTAGAAATACCACAAGAACAGCTTTCCTCCCAGTATTTTGGTACATTCACTTCCCTTCTTGAATGAAACTGCGCAGCACAGAAAAGCATGACAACGAGAAAATGCAAACAAAATGAGTTAAAGAAAAGTCTTTTCATCCTCGTGAGGCATTCACGTCCCATGTGTGGTGAAGGCTTAGCAGATCTATTCTTATGTTATTCAGAATGGTTCTTCCAACTTCAACAGTCAGATTGTAGGTATAGACATTTTTTGCTTTTTTTTTAATTCTGAGAAGGAATTTAATTACGTAAAATACAAATAAAATATCAACAACTGTCCCAATATAATACAAAGTTATCTTCTTCAGTTGCTTTGTAGTCTAGGTGAAATGAGTTCCCATTTCAGTGGGTAGGTGACTTCAGCCAAGAATGCATCACAGAAGTCAAGAACAAAATGGGCCTGATGAATAAAATATTCTCTTAACTCCGAGCATGTGCTCTGATGGAATAACTTAAGAAAGCTTGTACTATTGTTTGCCTGTGCTGTACTTGTGATAGAAATCATTGAAAAGCATGACTCTCCAGGACTATCAAATCAACCCGTAGGAACAATATTACTTGCTTTATGAAGCCCTGTCAGTACCTGTTGTGGAGTTATTGATTCTCTGCTAAATGTTGCCATTTCTGACTTGCCCATTGCTGCCAGCAGACAAAGTGCTATGTTTCAAATCTAGCAGATGTCAGAAACCTTGGTGCTCATTTTTAAAATGAAGTTATATTGTTAATGGTTTGGGGAAAAAAGGGTGAAACTTATCATTCAGCCATCTTTTTAAAAAGGAACGCTTGCAACCCTGCAGAATCTAAATACGTCATGCAAGCTTGCTACAGTCACCCAGGGGGCACCACTGGTCCAAGATATGGAACACTTAAACCAAGCTCCACATTGGAAGAAGAAATTATTTGCACCTGCTCTTCCTTTTCATCTCCTGCCCTACAGATTCTTTCATTGTGACTCCAGCTGCCAGACACAGACTTCACAATAAATCACTCTGATAGAACTATAGTGTGGTCTGTGGTACATACCTGCTCATGCAAGGCAAAATGAAGAAGAGGGTTGGTGGCAAGCAGGTTGGAGGAGCTTTGACTCTTCCTTTCCCCAGTGCACTGACCAATTCAGCTGCATCCATGCCAGCACTAGGGCTGGTGCAAATTACCTCTGCCCTGGAGAAAGGTGGGGAGGAGCTTGTTGAAAAAAATCCAGATGTTTTGATTTTTCAGTTCACAATAGGGACACATTTTTCCACAAAATGTTGAAGAACTGAAGAATTTGAAGTGCCTAAGAAAAGCATAAAATGTCACAAGACTCATGATGAAATTTCAAGAACTGACCACACTGTCTTTGTGTTGAGCATGCCGATTTGGTCCTCGTCTCCCTGTAACTGTTCACTTGTCCATGAAAGATCAACAGCCAATCATTCAGCATTAAGGCAGGTGGGAATTGCTTCTCTCACATCCTGAGTGCCAGAATCTTGGCTGTCAGAGTTCTGGTTTTATCCATCCGTGATGGTAGATACTGCCTGACTGTATAGTTGAATTGCTGCCCTCTATTTGGAATCAGAATTTCCTGTCAGATTTCCACTAAGAGCAATCCTCCATCAGCAGATGTGTTAAATGGTAGAGCAGGAACATCTGGATTCTGTCCCTGTGGTTGCAAAGAGGTTCCAGGTGGTCCTAGTAAGCAGTATAGCCAGAATTATGGTTTTATGGGTAGCCAAAGCTTTGCCACAGTATTATTAATCCTATTGTGCCCTTGTGAAAACAATCTTCTGATTTCCAATGTCCAAATAACAGAGCATCTTTGCAACATACAAAGTTGTCTAAAAAAACCTTTTCTTCTCTTTCTTTTTGGTCTAAGGATCCATCAAATCCATACCTCTCCTCACAGGATTTTTTCAGAAATGTCTATGTCCTACCAGTTCTTCTCTTCCTGGCCCTCATTCTGCAGAGGACATTTCTGCAGGCTTCCTATTATGTCACCATAGAAACTGGCATCAACTTACGAGGTGCCTTACTGGTGAGTAAAGATATTATTTCCAAGATTGGCATGCTGTAAAATGCCCTAGTAATGGCTCCACATTTTATTCTTTCACTACTTTGTCCTTTATCCGTGAAATGTTGAACTACAGCTGAGGATTGGTATCACAATATCTTCTGGAGCTTGTAAAGACAGGGTTCTGAGACAATTTGTACAGTGGAAGGGCTGAGAATCATTTAACTGAACTAAAAACCTGGATATGATGGAAATTAGTTCAAGCCAGGAGATGTGACAGCACTCCTAGTACCCTACGTTCTAGCATCAATGTGTAAAGTTTGAACTCCCTCTATCATAGACTGAAAACATAACCATTGTTTTACTCTAAAACCTATATACTACATTGGGAGTGCAGTCCTAAAATCCACCCCAAACTCAGATCTCCTGTTTGGCTGTACAAAATGCTCTCCACCGGGTCACTCTGAATCTGTTTGCCTTTATTGTTTACTGCTTGAAAACTTAATAGAAAACATGACATAAATTATTTTATAATTACAGGGTTTCTGTCTGCCAATTACTGTAATTGATCCTAATTTTAGAGTTCTTTGAATTTATGTTAAGACTTATTTATATTTTTCATCAAAAGTAAGCTGCATTATTTCTCATCCCATGTCCCTATTCTCTACACTTTGCTGTCATTTTTGTTATGATCTTGATTTCATATGAGCACCACTCTTGCAGCCCTTGACCAGGGCTGGCCTGAGCCATTCGTGCACCCCAGGCTCCAGGAGTGCGGCACCACCCCCGGGAGTGCGGCACACGCGCGGCCCCGCCCCCAGGTGCCCGGCGCATGCGTAGCCCCACCCTGAGCGCCTGGCACATGTGCGGCCCTGCCCCCGCCCAGTCTGGCAGCCCTGCGCAGCGCCCCCTATAATGGGGCGCCCCAGGCGGTAGCCCAGTCAGCCCGTAGCTTGGGCCGGCTCTGCCCTTTACTGAAAGAGCCGTCCCATGAAGGCAAATTCATTGCTACTGAATAAGGTCTGTGCAGTCACACCAGGGAGATGTTTAGGCCAGTGGCACTGTTTATAATGACTAAAGGAGTAACAAAAATTGAGGCAATAATCCTACAATTTATTCCCTATGTGCTTTCAAAATCTCTCTGTTTGGGGACTGCAGGAATGGACAATCTCTGTTACTGACATTTACAATGTCTGGTGGCTGTTGTAACTTTATATACTGTACTTTATTCCTCCCTACAGGCAATGATATACAACAAGATCCTGAGGCTGTCCACGTCCAACTTGTCCATGGGAGAGATGACCTTGGGACAGATCAATAATTTGGTTGCCATAGAAACAAATCAGCTGATGTGGTTCTTGTTTCTGTGTCCCAATCTCTGGGCCATGCCCGTTCAGGTAGAGCATCAAAGTAAGGGCCTAATTTTTAGAAGAAACCCCCCTGAAAACAGAAGATATTCTAAACACAATGTACATCATTGAGGCTATTTAAGAAACAAGTGGACACTGTAGCATTGGACTATAGTTATAAATGCAAAGCTCTGGGCAGGAAGAGAACTAAAGGATAGAACTGTCTTCTCCAAAGGCTAAGAAGTAGTATCACTGCTGGTCAATGGGGAGATATTTTTGGGGCAATATTTAGAAGCCAAGAGGAATAGTCTGTGATTTTTAGCAAGGATTGCCTGTCTTTCCCACAGTCCCTTTGTACGTTTCTCTGCTCAGATTTGTTTTGCAACTGCCACAAGTGAATCTGTGTAGGCAGTTACGGTGGGAGGACCAAAATATTGCTCGCATTGCAGTATTCATTAGCAACTGTTTCATGGGACAAGAGTGAAGAGTGTTAGAACTGAGCCCTTAAATCTATGATCCTATATTGCAAAGAAGGTATAGTATGTCAAAGTTATAATGTAAGAAAAGAGTACTGATTTTTGGGTGTTGAGAATTCAACACATACACTAGTTACCATCAAATTCTAGTTCTAAACACTGGGCCTAAACCAGCCTGGATTGTGTACAGCACAAGTACGGATGAATCAGAAAGAATGAAAGAAAATCTTAGGGTTGGCATAGCCGAATTTTCAAATGCGAGGAAGCAATTTAGGAGCCTAAATCCACTTGATTTTCAGTCTTAGGCTCCTAGGGTATTTTTGAAAAATTTACTCTTGGTCTTTTAAAGCAGAATCAGTAGGTTACAATTTATAGGTATTATTAACAACAAGAATGAAAGCCTTGGCAAATTAGATCTACAGTGTGTAAATTCATCACACTATATAATTCATCCATAATACTGATGGCAACATACACTTTTGTATATTATTTTTAGCAATTTGTTAATTTTTATACATCACAAAGAAGGTGTGGTGAAAAAACAGACAATAAAGGGCTGAGATGGAAAAAGGGATTAGTAATTATATCAACATTTACAAATCACTACTTGAAATCCAGGCTGGTTTAGAATTGTCCAAAAATAGTTATCATATGAAGGTTTTTTGACTGGTTAATTGAACTGCTGTCACTTCTGGGCCAATTATGTATTGCTTAAATTCTATGTAGCATAATGGTCTCCTTTTTATCAGCCTCAGGAAAGTGGCAAGGACAGAATAGATACAGAAACTGAAATATCTTCTTAACCCATGGAAGTGATCCCAGCAGAAAGTAAAACGACTGTCTGAGGAAGTTTCTATGGTCACTTCCTTTGCTATTCCTCCAGCTCATGGAGCACTGGGACCTAACTGAAAACTCACTGAAGTCAATTGGCAGTATTTTAATTAACTTTGGTAGAGTTTGAATCAAATGTGCTTGGGAAATGAATTTCTTACTTAAAAATCTGCTGTTGTTTGTACAGAAATAATGGGCGGGATGGAGAATGTATTGGATGACCTCCTATGGCCTGTGGTATGCAGCAAGTCAAAATAAATAATCACAATGACCCCTTCTGGCCTTAAAATCTGTGAACTGTTGTCAATCTTGTAGCTGAGACTAGGACTTAAAAAACTAACGTAAAATGTATATGGGATATTTTTAAAGCTTCTTTCAGTGTGAAATCCTTGGGTAGCTACTGGTGTCAGCAATTCATATGTGGAGGTAATATTTCTGAATCAGCAGTTCATTTTGCTTCTTTCTCTGAAAAAAAGACATGGAATTAGCATTTGGTAACTATGGGCTAGACCAGGGCTACTCAACTTTGGAAGCCCTGGGGACCACAATAATACTCACAGCACATGCCGAGAACTGCAACTTAAGTGTGGTTGCATATACATGCAAATATATATGCAAATACATGCAAAGAGATTATTTCACACTGATGGGCATGAATACAAAGTACTTCCCACAACGCCCTGGCACTCCCGGCACTTCCTCCCAGGGGACTAATAACGCCAAAACCCTGTATCCACCTGTTCCAGCCAGCCCATCCATTTGCATCTTTCAATGCTCACCCCACCTGGCATATGTCTTGCCATTCTGGAGCGTGTTCCCAGTGAAGACCATGTTCAAAGGATCTCACACGTGGGCCGTGTGTTGAGCCCCATGTAAACCCAAACTGCACCATGGGCTGCAAACAAATGGGCCATGGGCTGGATGTGGCCTGCAGGCCACATGTTGAGTAGTCCTGGGCTAGATTGTGACTTTCCCGAATGCAGTCAGGCAGAGGAATATATGTGCCATCTCTCCAGAAGCAGAGGATCTCTGAAGGACGTTTCTGAGGAACAGTGACTTCCAGTGCTGCTCCTGGAGTAAGGTAGTTTATGACTGAGGTTACAATCTAATCCTAAATATAATGCCATCAAATCATATCCTGCTAGTCTTGAATAAAGACCGGGCGCTGATCCTACAACTTGCTGAGTGTGCCCGGTAAGGTATGAAGCATCCTCAAAGGTAGCTGAAAGGATGGATTGGGCCCTGAGAAACTACAGCAGGGTTTGCCTCGGGTACGAATTGCCACCAGGGATGTAGTCTGTGTTTCCACTAAGGAAAGGGTCTTTATGTGTATAAATAATACTCTGCAAAATCTCACACATGACTGGAGGCTAGTGATGAAGCTGTGCAATGAGGAGACTTGTAATTAAATTAATTAGTTAACTGAAAATGTAAAACAAATAAGTAGGGAATCAGTTCTGCATGCCCTTTCTGACATGACTATCCCTTATTCATATTAGTACTTGCTCTGGTCCTTACAATCGGACTCCCTTTGGCAGGGCAAAGATACCTTTAGTTGAATGTAAATGTAATGATACTCACTTCATTGCCCCTTTAACTGGTGTAAAGAGACTTTTGTGCAAATAAGAATCAAGCGCACTGACTCTGGAGAACTACTGGCTTACCTACATATATGGCACTGTGTGCTTGAGTCTTTGGAACAGGCGCTGTCTTCTCATTCTATGTCTGTACAGCACTTTGTACACTGGAGTCCTTGTCCATGCCAAGGAGACATGGTGCTACTACAATACAAATAAATAAAGATGATTAATGTTTCCGGAAACATCCCCTAGAATTTCAAGATTTAACTGCTGAAGTAAATTAGAAGTGACATTTTATTTAAATTAATGCAAATTCTAAGGACTGTTGAACTACATAGTCTGAGACAAAAATTTTTTGTCTTACTGTCTTGTAAGGGTTCTGAAATGTATTGCTTTTCCTGTGTGTCTTTTCCCTCCATAGATCATAATGGGTGTGATCCTCCTTTATTATTTACTTAAAGAAAGTGCATTGGTTGGTGCCGCTGTTATTGTATTGCTTGCTCCAATACAATATTTCATAGCTACAAAGCTGGCTGAGGCTCAGAAGAGCACGCTTGTAAGTAATTTATTTGGTGATGCCTATGGCCCAGTAGTTAAAGCAGAGAACCAGGAATCGGGAGTTCTTTATTCTATTTCTGGGGTGTTTTTCCAAATAATTTGCTTTGTAATCTTTGCTGTGTAAGCCATTTCACTTTTTGTCACTCAGTGTCCAGATTTGTAAAATAAGAGTAATAATATTTGACTATTTTACAAGTTGTTTGCAAACTTATTCCTAACTTCCACAGATTTACACAGAAGTTAGGATCCTAAATACCTTTGAGAACCAGAGTCTTACTCCTATTATCAAGGTTTAAGAGAGACCTGATTAGTTAATAAGCTTCGTTCTGGCCCTTTGAATTTCTTCCATGCAAATTTAATCAAGCAATAATTCATGAGTGCCTTTCTTATTAAGGTGTTCTCCATTCTGTAGAATTTCAATCACAATTCGGAAGTATTATGCTAAAAGTCAGATATTTCTTTCTCCTTCCTTCAACCAAAAAGCTCACTGAGCATGCTCAATAGGATATCTTTGATGTCATTGTTGTAAGTTAATAGCAGAGGAGAGGATATTCAAAAGTTTAGAAATAAGAAGTAATCTGGAATATGAGCATCAGCCAGAGTGTAACTCCATGTATCGGTAACTTCAGCTAAAGTGTGTAATATATAAGGTACTTAATGCACCTCTTTAAAATAGTTGAAAATATTACCACTGTACAGATACAATTGTATTATATGAAAGTTATTTGCTGGCATCCCAAAGATAAATTAAACATTAAAAATCAAAATTAATTAAGTGGTCAATTTTATTAATAATAAACATTCCCAAAAGACAGTTTTCTATTAATAATAACACTTTGTTCTTCTGCAGAACCTTTCATCTGAGGGTCAGCACAAAGTTTATTAACTACTCAGATCTTTCTTACGCCTCGATAATAATGAGGAGTTAGGGCCTGATCCTCGGATGTAGTTAGGATCCTAACTTCTGTGGAAATCTGTGGAAGTTAGGAAGTTAAATATCTTTTGAGGACTTGGGGTAGGTCCAGATTCAGTTGTTCATCCTTTTTCAGCAAAGCACTTAAACACATGCTTAAATACTTTGCTGAGCTTGGCCCTTACATTATATATGCACCTAGTACTGACCTTTTTAAAAGGAGTAAATTTCACCTTATGGGGAAAACATCTACACAGTAGTGCATACCTCAAAATAAGCTATACAATTTGAGCTATGCAAATTGCATAGCTTGTTTTGAAATAGCTTATTTCAAAATTTGGCACCATCTACAGAGCATTAATTTCAAAATAAATTGCTATTCTGGCATCTTCCTTAATCCTTGTGCAACAAGATTTACAAAAAGCCTTAATAAAAAGCCTGTTATTTTGAATGTATTTCAAAATAATAGGTGTGCTGTTAAGATTGCTATTTTGGGAGAACAGACATTATCCCAAAATAGCGCCATTGTGTAGACGTACCCTATCTAAGTAGCTGGATCACATCAATGATCATGCTTTAGATATCATGGAGACCCTTTCTTATGTACTCTATGGAATGATAGAAGTTAATAAAAATGACTAATAAAATATAGAAACGAACTATTAAATCATATGAAAAACCCCTTTTGAAATAGATCACATGCAATATTTTAACTGTGGTGCAATACTTCGTCTAAAAGTCTGTTGAATTTTTAAATAACCCCCATACTTATATTGCATCATCCCTTTTACACATTCTCCATCAGTGGAAAATGATTCTCCAGTCTAATAGAGCTTAATGATTGGAAATTTATCTTGATACTTACCCTAATTTTCAATTTTCTTAATGTTATCCTTTAACTCCTATTGCTAACCCTTCAGATTAGAACTCTATCAACCCTCCTGCATGTCTAGCATCTTCAAATATTTGATGACTATCACCATTTTCCCCTCATATCTTAATTATCAGTTAGTCAATCTAAACATATCAACTTGAGTCAGTTTGACTGAGCCCAGTCTTTCTGAGGATCTAGCTTATCCTTTTTTCTTCAGACATGGTTTCCTACACTCCTCTGATTTTTTTGTTGCTCTTTGCTGAATTCCTCCCAACTTGTTAAGGTATTTCTTTGTAATGATGTGCCCCAAAAAGATGAACACAATTCTGCAGATAAAGGGTTATTATCTAAATGAATTAATAAAATAAGCACATACTGTATTATGTGAACCCTCTATACGCAGGCCACAATTGGTCTTTTTCACATTGCAGCTTCAAATGTATTTTCTTCATTTTGTCCATCTTTTTTCAGTATTATCACTTCTCAGGTTTTATTTCCAGTTAGGTATATAGATTTCAGATTATTTTCCCCAAGATGTATTAATTTTCATTTTTTAAATTTAGAATTACTTTTATTTGCTTTTATGATTTTAAATTCTCTACAATTCTCAAAGAACATGAAATTTCATATCATTTCATTATGTACAATACTTAGAGGTACATTGTAGGTCAACCTAGTGTCAATAGTTTGGTTGATTTTGGAACCAATGTGATAGATAAAAGCATTCTTAATAAAATATGTGTAAAGTAATTATGTAATTTGTAATTTCTTACTTTCCTAATGTAAAGGATTATTCTACTGAGAGATTAAAGAAAACCAATGAGATCTTGAAAGGCATTAAGCTGTTGAAGTTGTATGCCTGGGAGCACATATTTTGTACTAGCGTAGAGGAAACCAGAACGAAGGAGCTCAAAAGTCTCAAAACCTTTGCACTTTACACATCTCTTTCCAGTAAGTATTTCTGTTCCAGGGGCAGCATTGTTTTTAGCATAGCTCTTAATTATGGATCTAGTGCTCAATACTAATTTCTTTTTTACTTCAGTTGAAGCAAGATATGCCTGTACTTATAGTAGTGGCTATTTTGTTATGGAATGTGAAGGAAAATTAAAGATATGACAAATATTATTGTTTATCTTGTAAAAAGTTGTTCTGTAACTTTAGTTACAAGATTTTACGCTAATAAGCACTGAGATAATATCATCACGTATGATTGGGACAGAGATAAATTAGGAACCAAAATAAATTACATTCCTTGTAAAGAGGCAGAGTTGAGGAAAATGGCCCCAATAGTAAATTGTCCTTTTGAAGCAGTTTTTGGCTATTATACATAATTCTGCAGTTCATATAAAAATATTTCAATTAATTGAAATATGGAAACCATAACATTTCTTGGTTTGCTCATTTATTTAAGATCTAAGGGTATGTCTACACTAGTTCGAGCTAGGTAGGCAAATGAGGGCAACCGGAGTTGAAAATGAAGCCCAGGATTTAAATATTCCGGGCTTCATTTGCATCTTCCCGGGCACCGCCATTTTTAAATCCCCCTTAGTCCGAACTCCGTGCCCACGGCTACACGCGGCACGGAGTAGGTAGTTTGAATTAGGATCTCTAATTCGAACTACCGTTACTCCCCGTCATACCTTAAGTCAGTTATGGAAGGAAATGTCTTCATGCTAAGTAGTTTTCCTTTGGGAATTTTAATGGATAGAAACAACTTTTTGAGGTTGATCTTCTCAACTAACACTATTTAACATACTATGGTTTTGTTGTAAAGTATTGTTATTTAATAATAAGATTATTTTTGCAAAGCTCAAATAATCTAATATATGTTTTATTTTTCCACAGTTTTTATGAATGCAGCCATCCCAATCGCAGCTGTTCTTGCAGTAAGAAATAATTTCCCCCTTTATCTGAAAAGAAATTAAAAAAATGGTCATTGTTTATAAAGGACCTACTTTTCATAGAAACAATGTGTGGATTAGTATGTCCCTGCTGATTGCTTAGCAGTATTATACTAACCAATCCAATTCCCAAATGTAAACTTACCACACCTGAGATGTGGGCTTGTGAAAAAGAAATCAAGCAAAGAGCAATATTAATTTCAGGCACCAGCAGAAACCAAACAGGAAATCAAAATCTGACTGAACTGGAAGGGGACAGACTAGGTTTGAGAATAACTTACTTTGGCTGTGTATCTTGTGGTGTTGTTCCATTGTCTCTGAGGGTATGTCTACAATACAGCATTATTTTGAAATATCTAATTTCAAAATAGTTATTTTGAAATATCTTATTTTGAAATAACGCGTCTACACCCAAAATGTATTTCTAAATAGCATTTTGCTATTTCTAAACAGCGCGTCAATACTGATTGAACGTTGAATCGCATTTAAGGCCAGGGCATCAGATCAGAAGTTACCTTGTGGCCAGGGTGGCCAGCCCAGCATTCTGGGAAGGGCTGGAGGCCCCGTATTTTGAAATAAGCATCTACACAGCGCTTATTTCGAAATAGCAATTTCGAAATTGGCACTATTCCTTGTGGAATGAGTTTTACAAATTTTGAAATAACCCCTCCGTTATTTCAAATTAATTTTGAAATAGCAGTTGGCTTGTTTAGACGCTAGGAAACTATTTCAAAATAACAGCTGTTATTTCAAAACTAGCCAATAGCATATCATAAAACGGGATTTTTGAGTCTTTCCTCCATGTCTGTCTCTATCTCTCTCCTCCTTCTCCTGCCTCCCCCCTCTTTCTCTCAGCTCTTCTCCATCTCCTGCCTCTCTCTCCATCTCTCTTTCTCTTCTCCCCCTCCTGCCTCTCACTCTCTCTTTCTCTTCTCCTCCCCCTCCTGTCTCTCACTCGGGGGACCGCGGAGCCCAAACGGCTGTTTGGGCTCCATGCTCCCTATGTGGGGGCAAGCGGTGCAAGCAGCTGTTTGGGCTCCATGCTCCTCATGCAGCATGGGACTGTGGAGCCCAAATGGCCTCTTGCACCACTTGCTCCTGAGTGGTGACCTGTCTGAGCGGTGCAAAAGTCAGCTGAGCGCCACGGCAGGAGGGGAAGGGAGGCGGGGCAGTGACGTACACAGCTGGGGGCCCCACTCCCCTTCCCCTCCCGCTGTGGCTCTTGGCTGAGTTCTGTGCCACTCAGCCTGGCCGCTACAGGGGAGCAAGTGGAGCAAGTGGCCATTTGGACTCCCCCGGAGTCGCCTGGCTGAGCGGCGCAGAAGTCAGCGAAGCGCCACGGTGGGAGGCGAAGGGAGACGGGGCGGGGCGGTGATGTACACCACCCTGCCCCCTTCCCCTCCCGCTGTGGTGATTGGCTGACTTCTGCGCCGGGCCTCATTGGGGAGCAAGTGGCGCAAGCGGCAGTTTGGGGTCCACGCTCCCCAATGCAGCATCTGTGCTACATGGGGAGCACGGACCCCAAACGACCCCTTGTGCCACTTGCTCCCCTGTGGTGGCCCGGCTGAGCGATGCAGAAATCAGCCAAGCACTACGGCAGGATGCAACAGTGCCCCCCAGAGGCAAGACTGTAACACTACAGCATTATAGAGTCACAGACATTGGGCTACTATATATTTGATAACTTTGCTGTGTAGACATACCCTGAGTGAAATTCACCCATGTAAGTGAGCCCAGTAGAAGGCCCAGGTAATTTAAATTCTCACAATAGGTCATAAAGTTGGACTTAAATGGGATGTGTTTGTACTAGCCTTCTGCACACAAAAGAATTTCACAACTAATGCACAAGGGAAATACCCTTCATGCTGAGCAGTAAGAAATGTGTACCAAACACTGAGGTCCGTTTTCAATTTGTACTCAACCCCTACTTAGGCAAAATGAGGTGTTTTATTCTTTGTTTTGAATCACTCTATGTAGCATGGCATCCTTTTCATTAATCTTCTCTTGTTTTGTTGTGACAGACTTTTGTGACCTATGAATATACAAATGACACAACACTGCAGCCAGCACAGGCCTTTGCATCACTGTCATTGTTTCACATCCTGGTCACACCACTGTTCCTGCTCTCCACTGTGGTTAGATTTGCAGTCAAAGCCATAATAAGGTAACCAATGTAACCCAGATAGTTTTCCCAACAGGATTCAGAAAGCCTTGTACCAATATTTTGTCCCATTATGTAACATGGAAGGAAAGGTACCTAGTGGAAAGCTTACCAAAACACCAGTGGAGCCACTGGACAATTGAGGTTCCAAAGGAACACTCAAGGAAGACAAGGCCACTGTGGAGAAAGTAACTGAATTATTTTCCTTGGTCTACTCTACAGAAGAAGTGAGGGAGATTCCCACACCTGAACTATTTTTTTTAGTTGATATAACTGAGGAACTGTCCCAGACTGAGGTGTCATTGCAGGAGGTTTTGGAACAAATTGATTAATTAAACAGTAATAAGTCAGCAGGACCAGATGGCATTCACCTAGGAGTTCTGAAAGAACTCAAATATGACTCAGCAGAACTGGTGACTGTGGTATATAATCTATCAATTAAATCAGCTTCTGTATCAGATGACTCACCAATAGCTAATGTGATGCCATTTTTTTTAAAAGGCTCCAGTAGCAATCCTGGCAATTACAGGTTGCTATGCCTAACTTTAGGACAAGGCAAACTGGTTGAAAAGATAGTAAAGAAAAGAATGATCAGACACATAGATGAACATAATCGGTTGGGGAAGAGTCAACTTTTTTAGCTTTTGTAAAGGGAAATAATTCACGATCAATCTATTCCAATTCATTGAGGGGGATCAACAAACATGCTCCCAATGGTTGATCCAGTGGGTATAGTGTACTTGGACTTTCAGAAAGCCTTTGACATAGTCCCTCACCAAAGGCTCTTATGCAAAGTAAACAGTCATGGGGTAAGAAGGAAGGTGTTTCATGGATCACTAACAGGTTAAAAGACAAGAAACAAAGGGTAGTAATGAATGGTCAGTTTTCAGAAAGGAAAGAGAGAAATATCAGGGTCCCCCAAGGAACTTCAACATATTCATAAATGGTCTGGTAAAAGGGGATAAACAGGGAAGTGGCCAAGTTTTCAGGTGACACAATATTACTCAACATAGTTAAGTCCACAGCAGACTGAAAGGAGTCACTAAAGAATCTCGCAAAAGTGGGCAACTGGACAAAAGGCAGATGAAAGAGGCCTGAAAATGTACTGGGGCAGCAGGATAGGAATAGGCAACAGGCATATGCAGTGAGTTATATGGGCACATAGTGCCTGGGCTCCACCAATCTTGGGGTCCTGGGAGCCTAGATTGACCAATGTCAGGTTGGGACTTTCCTCTGGTCCTGCCTGCCAGTCCCATGCACCTCTTCCAAGCATCCCTGACAGCTGCTTTCCTTCAGAGACCTGACCTGCACCCTGCCCTTCCTGCAGCCTGTACCAAGTAGCTCTGCTTGGAGTGCTCTCCTTTGCTAGTGGCTGCGCTGCAGCCTGGCTATAGGAAGCAGCCCCAGCAGCAAGCTGACAGCTGTGGCTGATAAAGGAGGAGCGGAGGAGGCATTTCTCTACCTCCGGACAACTCTGAGTGAAGTCTTTCCTGCCTGGGTCTTAAGTAAGTGTATGTGGTGCTGGGAGTGGGGGGAGGAGAGGAAGGGAGAGGAGGCAGAGGAGAGGAAAAGAGGGGTATGGGGGCTATAGCCCCAGCCCCTCACATCCCCCAAATCCCTCATCCCCTCACACACCTCATACATCCCTCATTCCTAGCCCCACTTCAGAGCCAGAGTCCTCACACCCCAGCACCTTTAAAAATCACCACTCTGTGCACAACCAAAATTTTTTCAAACCTGCTGCCTCTGGCAGCGGGTCCAATTCCCACTTGCCAGTGATGAGATGGCCAGTTCAGACTGAGGTTTGCCCCTGCAGAAAGGAGCTAGATGATGAATGGCAGTTGGTCACTGAGCAAGGTGAGTTTTGGGGAGGAATCTGGGTGTGGGTACCACTACTAGGGCAGTGTCCAAGCTACTGGGTATTGCTGTCTGGGAGGGTTGCAGGGCCTGATGAGCTCCCTCTGACTAGCCACCTTTTTATATTGCCCAGATGGGCCCTGATTGGCTGCCTCAAGTCTGCTTGCAAGAGGCTCCCAGCCTCAGTCCTCTCACAGAGCTGTTTTAACCTCTTATCTACCAGTGTGGGGCAACCATCCTCTCATAGCCCCTCTGGTCTTGTCCTCATTTAACTGGTGGTCAGCAGAAGGTGGTCCACTCCTCAGGGTGAAGATCCAAAAGGCTGAGTTCTTGCATACCTAAGGGGACACATTTTCAAACAACTCCTCCTAGAGATTTCCTGAGAAACCCACTTAACTTTCAAAGTTCATTCTTGTCCAGACCATTATTTCAAATATTCCTTTGAAGCTCATAACACTTTTCATTATATTAGTCATGTCTTTCCCCTACAGACATTACATACAATCCCACAATAATACATAAATGTTTGCATTTTTCCTGCAGTGAACTCCTAAAATAGTTAAACTTAATTCAATAGGATTTGTCCAGGATATTGCAGGAAATTGCCATACGTACTACAGGGATAAGCCCGAAAGGAAAATCATAGAAGTCACAAAATCTGGGATTTTATCAAACTTTGCTATGATTTAAGCATGACATTTCCCAAAATATATAGTCTAACAAAACAACTTTCCTAGTGCTGGAATTCCTCTCTAGTTTCATGGTTGTTGGAGACTGAAAGGTCTTGCCATCTATTGACTCCTCAGTGGCCTATGTGAAAGGAATTGGTGTCTCAGTGTATTGAGCTTCAGGGGGTAGTCAAGTTAGTCTGTTACAGAGAAAAACAACAAATGGATTGGTAGCACTTAATAGACTAACAAAACCTGTAGATGGTATCATGAGCTTTCGTGGGCACAGCCCACTTCTTCAGATGACCGGAGTTATGAGTAGGGGATATGAAAACTGGAAATAAATAGGTGAAGGGAAGAGAAAGGAAAAAGGAAAGGGGGTGGGGAGGGTAAGGTGTATGTGTCCTAAATCTCCCATCACAGCTGGTGCAGATTGATACTCTTGCTGACAGAGATGCCAAGCACTGACAGGATCTAAACACTGCACTGAATTTCCCACCCTCGCATGTAGTCCCTCCAAGTCTAAGTTGAGGCACTCTGGCAAAGCATTGTTGCTGCTGCCTCTGTTTAGTGGATAACAACAATAATAATAACACTAAGAACAGGACATTCATCTTCTGAGCCCTCCCTCACCATTCTCCAGCATGCAGTTCAGTAACAAATTATATAATCAGTGTTTTGCTTTTGTTGAAGTTTAGCATGATCTCTGACTATTGGAAAATCTCATGCCCCCTTCTTACATAACTCTAACCACTCCAAAATGCCTCCTCCCTCTGTGCTATGTTTAGTGCTGTCCTAATATCAAAATGGTGTGTGTGTTTCATTTGCAATCCTTAGCCACCCCAAAGGACATTCTTCAAAACCCTGTTTGCCAAAACAAACCTCACCCATTGGAAAATTTATGTCCTATCATCTTTCTCCCATGAACCTAGCAACTCCCAAGTGCAGAGGCATGAGAAATGCATGCTTGGCCACTCTACAGCCTGCACCATCAATCATATAAATTGATAGGATTAAGTGCTTGTCCCTTCCATAAAGAAATACTTATACTTTGACCAGACCCTTTATTTCACGTTAAGGATTAGCAAAGGTCCAGTGGCAGGACACTTTTTGACTGTGGCTGAAAGAAATGTTTGACCCAGACCTTCTAAGGCAGTAGGTCAATGTCATTGCATATTCCTGTAGTTTCCTACATATTCCTATTTCACAAAGCAAGAAGTACGTTTATTAGTGTGGCCATTCCTTGTGGAGTTAGCTTAGCTTCCTGACACTGCCTGATGAAGAGGCCACTGTAACATCATCTGGTGATAAACTCTGGATTTGGATATTCCATCAGGGACTTTACATAGCCATACTTCTCTCACAAAGTGGTTGGGCCAGGGGAGCAGACGTTCTCCGAGGGCCCCTGGGCAAGGTGTGTGGGGAGGATGGTAGCGCCACACTCCTGGAAGGGGAAGGGCCTCAAGCAGAGTGGGCGGAGCCAGGGCAGCCAGTCCTCCATGCTGCTCAGAGTGTAGCATGTTCCCCCCAGTCCTCAAAGCAACATAGAGTGTGGGTCTGGTGCTCCAGCCACCATCGCTGCCACAGTAGCAACAGCAGCAGCACCTGAGAGCCCTGGGCCCCTTTGAATCACAGGGCCTCGCAGCAACGGCCCCCTTTTAACCCCCTCCCCATCGGCAAGCCTGGGCTGGGCTTTCCCCTTTTCTACATGTCCCTGGGGTAAAGTGAGGATCGAGGCAGCCCAAAAAACAGCCAATGAGTGGCTACACAGATTACATTATCTTTTTTAAAAGAATGACTTAGCAAGAACAGCATATGCTCTGCAAGCCACAGAGCTCTTGCTGGTGGTCTGCTGGGAGCTGGTTGGTCACATGGTGTCTGTTCGTCTCCTTATTTCCAGAAGCTTTTATTGCAATAAAAAACAGTTTACAAATGCATTGATTACTTTCATACAGTTCTTTTTCCATGCAAAGAATTGCTGCAGTTGCTATGCTATGCAGTCCGCCAGTGAGTGGAGGTGGTCAGTGCAATCATGAAGTTGAGAACTCTGATGAGGTGATCAGAGTGCTGCTCGTTACCAGTTTACCTGTGGCAATCTGGCATTCACTCACTGCCTTTTTGTTTTAAGTGTACAGAAGCTAAATGAATTTCTCCTAAGTGATGAGATTGGAGAGGACAACTGGAGAAGTGCAGAGAGCTCTGTGACCTATGAATCCTGTAAGAAGCATACGGGACTTGTAAGTTCTATTGTCAGACTTGGCTGTTCAAAAAGGGGGAAGACAGCAGGGTCAAAGGGAGTAGATGGGGACCTGGGACTGAGGAGACTAGTGTTTAAGTCTGGCTTTGCTACTTACCAGCAGTATGACTTGGGGAAGTCATTTCCTTCTCTCTATGCTTTAGTTTCTTTCTGTCCTTTGCCTGTCTTGCCTCTTTAGGGTGTGAGTCCCTCAGGACTGGGTTTTTTCAGCAGGGCAGGTCCCTGCTCTTACATAAGCATTAATAAAAAAGAAAAACGTTAAGAAATGACTTGATTGATATATCATTCAGTTGGCCCTCTCAGTTTTAGACTATTGTTCTAAATATAGCATGTAGCCTTGATAGTGTTAGAACAAGGGTGGGGAACTTCAGGCCCAGGGTCTGGATGTGGCCCCTAACTTGTTTGGATCCGGCTCCCAAGGCTCAGGGCTCCCCCTCAGTATTGGGGAGCCAGTGCTGGTGTTCCAGCCCTCCTGCTTTCTCCTCCCCACCACATTACTGTGGGGTTGGAGCATACAAAATCTACTAGGCTAGGCCCCCCCAGGCTCTGATGTGTGAGGGGAATGTGGAGAGTGTCTTTCTTCTTCTCAGTCAGGAACCACTTTTGTTGTTGTTGTTGTTGTTGTTGTTGTTGCTTCTCATTTGTGTGTGATTTTTCTGTGGTTAGTGGCCCCGAGCGATAAAAGGCTCCCCAACTCTGTGTTAAGAAGACTGAATTCTTTCTTTCTTTGCTATACCACCCATGGTGTGCCAGATTCTTTCCAGACAGTCAAGCAGGGGTAGTCATTTTTTTGAGGAGCTCACACTGTAAAGATAAATAGAAAGGGGAAGGGAAAGAGAGGAGAAGAATCAATGTATGTAGAAGTCAGATTGATTCTCTGTCAACAGCCCAGCAAAAGTGAGTCTTAAGAAGAACTGAAACAGGGCAGGAACTTTGTGGAGAAGCTCAGAAGGTTGTACCATGCCTAAGTGGCCATGTGGAAGGCATTACAGAGGCAGGCAACTGTCTGGGAAGCTAAACTGACAAATGGGAGGATGAGGTTGGGTAGATTTGGAGGGGACAGGGAGCAATGTTGAACTTAACAAAGGAGGATAAGGAGGAATGGGATATAATTATGTAGAGAACTGAAAATACTGACAAAAAATGTTAAATTAGCGTAAAAGATGGAGAGATGTGAAGAGACACCAGTGACATCAAGAGGCAGTTGAGGGTATTCAGCACGTTATGAGAGGCACTTGACTCCTCACACTATTGTGCATCTGTTACAACACATGTTGAAATACCCTGTTACTATTCACATGTTCTTCTTTTGACCTAGATAGGAAGGAAGAGAAGGGGCTGTTTTGTTTCAAAGGAGCCTGTGTTTTGTTGTCTTCTGAAAATTTCAATTTCTCTTCTTTCTGTGCTTTTTTATGTAGTATACCAAAGCCATAAACAGGAAACACCCCTTGAGGCATCAGCTGAACACTTATGAGCAGTCATCTGGGAGGCATCCACGTCCCTTAGAGATAGATGATACTGCAATCCAGGTAGCTTGAATTAATGAATTCAGACTTTACATGGAGGTGGGCCTCATGCTCCCGAGTAAACTGGCACCAAAGAGTCCAAATCCTGCAATCCTTCCAAAAGTATATCATTCACAGCAAGATCAGGTGTACAACATTTGGATAAAAATGTGCTTAAAATACAGTTACACCAGATTTTTTTTGGAAATCATCCTTTCCCTTTAATGCCTCTATTTTTTCTCAGTAGTAAGTGATATTGTGATTCTGAAGGAACAAGAACTGCATGACCAAATTACTACCCCACTCCCAGACCCAAAGATTTTATAAGCTCATTTCCCACATTCATTGCTGAGGTGGGGAAAGCTGTCTGACAGTTCCCACATGTTCTGACTAAATTTACATTAAACACATGTACAGGTTTCAGACATGCCCTTTGATCCATGTTCTGCTGATGGCTGCCCTTCTTGTGTGAGGGAGAATAGCCCATAGCCCTGTTAATTTCAAAGAGACGATACAAATCCAAAGGTAAAATATGGCCCCAGTGTCTATCTGGGAGCTCACTTTTGTCCACCATTTATCCTGTTTTTTGTCCACTGAGTAGCCTGTTTATACTCTGTGTGCCCCATCCTTGATAGACCACAACATCATACATACCCTGGACAATCCCTGTTCTGATAAACTATTGTGTCTTATTTAGCACCCATAGTTAGCATTTCTGGAGGTGAATCTCTTCCCTTGAAGAGATACTGCAAGGGGTTTTCTCTGTAAGAGATGATTGAACCCGTGAGCTTTATCTTGAGACTGCTCCTTTAGTAGAGGGATTTTCATACAATATATGAAATACATGTTGTTTTTCCTTCACAATCTTTCTTTTGCCATTCTTTCCTTATTTGACTTGCAGTTTTTCACTTGACCATGCTTCAATGGGTTTTATCACATTTTTAAGTGGTCTTTTCTTTTTAATCCAGAACAGATAGTTATAAATTATTTATTGTGGTGTTTGTGCTTGTAATATATGAAATTATTTTGTAGGTTACCAATGGTTATTTTTCATGGGGAAGCGGCCTAGCCACATTATCGAATATAAACATCAAAATCCCAACAGGTAGGATTAATGTGCACCTTGAATGTTAAACATATGAAACCCTTGTGTGTATATAGAGCAAAGCACAAAGAAACATAGGACTGGAAGGGATCTTGAGGATAATCGAGCCCAGTCTCCTGCTGTCACAGGCAAATTAGCCATAAAAATCACATTCATAAATGTTATCAAGCTTCATCTTGGAATGAGTTAGGTTGTTAATAGATATTGATGGATCTACCATCCAGGAACTTCTCTAATAATTTTGGTCTTCTCAATAGCCTGTTTGATGAGTTCCACAGGTTGATTGTTCATTATGTAAAGAAGCACTTCCTTGTGTTTGTTTTAAACATAAGGGTAATAATAAAAAAAATCATCGGTTTCAAAACAATAGGTGCATATATATAATTAAAACAGACAACACTATGACAAAGGCCACTAAATAGGCTGATTATAGAAAACAGTAGTTATTAAAAAATGGCCAAAGGTATTAAAATATGCCCCCCTCCCCACCACACACAATTTGACCAGGCAAATCTGCACAGGGAACTTGGTGTATTGTTATTAATTTTAATAATTATTACTAAAAACACCTTGATTCCCAAGATCCGTTTCTCAATTAATCATTCAGGATTGTGTGTGTATATATATATATATATATATATATCTTACTGTCTATTTTAGAAATGTGCATCTGTCTGTCTGTCCTTCCATCTGTGAGTCCGTTTGCTCAAGGACTCCTCCTAAATGCTAAGAGCTAGGGCAACCACATTTGGTATGCAACTCCCTTTTATCATAACTTAAAGCAAGGCCAGGGTTTTGTTGTGTCAGGACAATGGGATGTGTTTGCAATAAAATGGAGAAATGTGCATCTGTCTGTCTGTCCTTCCATCTGTGAGTCCGTTTGCTCAAGGACTCCTCCTAAATGCTAAGAGCTAGGGCAACCACATTTGGTATGCAACTCCCTTTTATCATAACTTAAAGCAAGGCCAGGGTTTTGTTGTGTCAGGACAATGGGATGTGTTTGCAATAAAATGGATCTCATAAAATGGAAAGGGGGGGGGGTCTGGCAGGAGGGACAGTTATACTGAAGAATAGCCACAGGAGGGGCAGCACAGGGCCAGAGATGGATACTAGGACATCTATAGCCTCATTGGGCTCGTGGATGAAGGGGTGGCGAAAGGGACAGCTATCTTCTATATATTTCAGAGAGTTTATCTGTATTGTCTGTTTGTCTGTGTCTGTCTCTAAGCTGGGGGACATTCTGCCCCCAAGTTGAGCCCACTGCAGCTGCAGTGGCCATGGCCAGGTGCTTGTCACCTGGCCCCAAGTGCTGCAGTGAAACCGGGCTGGGGTTGTCCTCTCTCCCTAGGCTAGTCTGTATTCTGAACCCCTCACCCCCCAGCCCCATACCAGAGCAATTATTTAAATGAAGAAAAACAAAACTTATTTGAGTTAAGGACCCGAGCAACACTAAGTAAATCTGCATGTATGTGTGTGTGTATACTGTATATATATTCCAGCAGGTTTATACAGTACACTTACATCACGGAGGTACTGTATGCCTGAACCTTTTCTTCCAAAATTAGCTTGCAAGTGGACATGCAAAATTGCCATTCACGGAATATAAAGGCCAGCAACAACTACTGCAAGCTATTTTTCATTTTAACTGGATTAGTGTTCTATCATTTGGCTCTCCTTTCTTTATTTGACTTCTCATTATTATAGGTCAGATGACAATGATTGTGGGTCAAGTTGGCTGTGGGAAATCTTCACTTCTTCTGGCTATACTTGGTGAGATGCAGACCCTGGAAGGAAAAGTTCACTGGAACAAGTAAGTTTCCAATAGCTTGTAAGTGCTGTTTTTTCCCCTTCATTGTAAGCACCAGCTTAAATGATTTAGGTTGAACCAAATCTGAAAGGTTTCAGCATTTTTTGGTGAATCAAAAAATGGTTGTTTGGGGTCTGTTCCAGAGTGTGAACGTGAACGTAGATCTCCTATATCCCAGCTGAATGCCCTCACCACTGGGACAACTCTTATTGGGGATGCTAGGGATCAGAGGGGAAGAGGGAACAGCAACTACCACTCCTCTTCCTCCTCCAACTATTTTGTGAATGGCTGAAACTATTCCTGTCAGATTCACAACTAGTCTTGGGCTGATCAAAGCTATTTTTCATCAAATAAGCTCTTTGTCTGAAAAAAATCACCCAGCCCCAGGGTAGATTTACAGCCTGGTGCTTGAAAGAAAGGACAGAAAGGGAATATGAATGTAGTTAAAACCAGTTGAATAGGTAGTCTGAAGTACACTAACCTTATTTTATGACCTAACTGGAGAGGACCAATTATTCTGTGTGTCACACATGTGCTATTTCGCACAGTGTGATGGGGTGAAGTCCTGGCTCCATCAAAGCAAATCATTGTTTTGCCATTGATTCCAGTAGAGTCAGGACTTCATCAGAGGTGTGTAATCTTCATCCTTTGAGAATTCTTTCCATGTCCATTCCATCTCAGACTTGCCCTGATGCAAGTACGTGGCTCCGTGATTTGCCTTAGGATATAGTGACACCAGTGGCAATAGCATTTTTTCAGACACTTTTCAAAACTTTTTTTTACATTGTTGTAGATTTGTAATACTAAAAGCTGGTGGTTTTTGGTTTTTTGTTTTTTTTTTAATCCAAAATTTCAGTGAAAAAATTTACCGACTCCACTTGTCAGACAAGTGTCCTTGCCTCTTTGGTTTTGAATCTTGTTGCTGAGGGAATTATTTAGTACACCAAAAAGTTGCAAGAGCCCTCAAGGCGAGTACCACATATGGCTTGAAACAGATCTGAATAGACACAAATTTCAAGAAAGTTCAGATCCTTATTTGAATCCAAAATTTGTGGATGGCCTTGTCATTTTAAAACAGGCTGATTAAGAATCCTGGATCCAATTATACCCCGGTGTTGGAAAAGTTTGGAGAGAGTGCTAGACACAAAAGTTCGTGTCTCTGGCCCATTGTTATTTTTAACTAATGCTATAATCAAATTTCTTATAGTACAGGATAAGCATTTATGTACTGACTACTGATCTTATCGAATGAAGAACAAAGATGTGAACTGCATTCATTGGTTGACACTTTGAAATGACATCATTGTTTGGAAGTATGTTTCATCAGATGGCTTTGCTGACCAATAATGTTGCACAGTTCTACTCTCACCTATGAAATAGTTGTGAAAAAAATGTCTCCATTCCCACCAAAGAAAATGAGGACAAATGAAAGGACTGGGTTATTTAACAAAGATAAAGGACAAAACCATATTCTAGTTTTGGATTGAACACAAGTCAGTCTGTCACTGTGGTCAGAGCTGCCTACTTGCTAGAGTGTATGGAGTAGCCCTTGGTCACAGGACAGCAGGGCCTAATGGCCAGAGTGTTTGCAGCAGACCCTTGCTTTCAGGGAAGTATGGCCTAATGGCCAGACTCTCTAGAGTATCCCCTTAGTCTCAGGGCAGTAATGCCTAATGGCCAAAGTCTATGGAATAGCACCTTGGTCTCAGAGCAGTACAGCCTAGTGGCCTGTACCAAGTGGGCTATCACTAGACAGGGAGGCGTGGGGCAGCAGCCCCAGTAGAGGGGCCTAGGTCCAACTGACTCCACCACAACCCAATCCAAGGCCCTATCAGTGGTTGAGTGGTTCACTGATGGCTCAGTGTGAAACACGCTGAGCTCACTCGGATGGGAGAGACCATTTATGCACCCTCCCTGCACCACATCCTACCAGAACTGGCAGCAGGACGATCCACAAGGCTTTAGGGTCCTCCAGCTCTGTGGCACACGTCACTCCCCAGGGCTTCACCAGCTCTGGAAGCTCGTTTCAGTTTCCTGTGTCTCTGGCTCTCGCTGTCTGGATATGTGACTGGTTCACCTCTGGAGCTCCTGTAGCAGGTCCTTCCTCTTCAGCATCCAGACCAGACTGAGCTGAGTTGCTCCTTTATATACTAGCCCGGCACTTGGCACCTGCCCAGCATGGCTGGAGAGAGGGGCGTGATTTCCTCTGCCCACAGGGTATTAACCCCTTCTAGCCCAACGTGGGGTATGTACACACAGGATGCCAAAGTCTCATTAAATCTGATTTGTTCAGGGGCCTGTGCCTGCCAGGTACCAGAACAAAGGAAACAGAGGGTGATATTCCTGGTGAGATTTGTTGGGATTGACATCAATGGAAGAAGGACAGGATACCCACAGCCCCTGTGTGGGATTGGGGAGAGCTTCTACCTGCTGAGAAGAGGCAGCTGAGGAGAAAGCAGATGGGAGAAGGGGTGGAATCATGCCGTCATGCAGAGCTGGAGTCTGAGAATCCCATACAGGGGGTTCAGAAGGGCAGCAGTCACCACTGCAGCTCAGAGTTTGGGAAGGTGGACATGGAAGGGATGTGCTGCAAACCCACACAATGGCCTGTGATTTTAGAGATGATTTCTGCTCTCCCAACTCTCCCATCCAAAGCTCATGCTCTTGAGTTTGATCTGTAGAAGGAGGGATGAATTTCACCCTCTGTGATCAAAATGTCATGACCTTGTCTTTGAATATTTATCTCTTTGATCATTTTCCCTAAAAGCAGCTTTTTCAACCTTGACAGTTTTCTTCTTCATGTCCATGTGTGACAGAAGTGGTGATACCTACTCAGGTCTTAGGCAGGAATATTCCCCTCTTCCTCACAACACATGATAAAAAGTAAATAAGGGCCTCCTTGAGCTGCTTGGGGCCCTATGCAATTGCTTAGTCTGCTTATGCCTAGCAGTGGCTCTGATGTGTGGCATTATTTTGGTTCCTTTAGTCATATGTCATTGTCTGCTGAGTAAGACACATAATCTCATTGGAATAATGAGGTTTGTTAGAACCCACAGAAGAATAAAGGAAATAGAAGTAGAGTTGAGTGTCAATTAGACAATATGACGTACAGTAATAACATGTTACCATTTATTTAAAATGTTTAAGGAGGACATTCCTCTGAGATGAGTCATTTTGTTTCCAAGAGGTGGGTAAAACATGGCAGCAATTCATATTTACATCATTCTCGTCTCTTCAAAGGCATCAGCTTATAAACATGCTGATACACTATGTACTGCTCTAGACAGCTAAGTTAAATCACATCTTACTGATAACAAACAAGTTCTACAATACTGCATGGCTGCATCAATCCAGGTGCAGCAATCTTAAAGAAGTTGTTATTTCATCTTTGCACTCGCACTCCTGAGAGCTGCTGAGAACCAATAACATCCATTTCATCCTGCTGACATGAAAAACGGATGCTCATTTCTTTTTAGGATTGGTTCCTAAAGTTGTTACTCTTCCCCAAAGTTTCAGAGGGGTAGCTCTGTCAGTCTGTAACTTTAAATACAAGGAGTGGTCCTATGTCACCTTAGAGCAGGGATGGGCAAAAGGGCCTCCACGGGCTGGATCCAGCCTGCCAAGTGGGTGGATCCAACCTGATGAGGCCCTGCTGCTCCCCTACCCCCAGGCCAATTAGGGGAGCATGCGAAGCCTCCTCCTGCCCTGCCAGGAGCATGCGGCACTATGAAGGATGGGGGCAGAGTAGAGAAGGCTTTGCATGCTCCCCCACCCCTAGATCCTAATTGGCCTGGGGGTGGGGGAGTGTGCGAAGCCTCCTCCCACCTTGCCAGGAGCATGTGGCACTTTGAAGCACCACGCGCTGCTCACACGGGAGGTGGGGGGAGGGGAGGAGGCTTTGCACACTTCCCCGCCCCCAGGCAGGGGAGCGAGGGAAGTCTCCTACCATGGCAGGGGCATGGGCACCTTGTGGGAATGTGGAGTGGGGGCAAAGGCACTCCCTCATCCCCAGACCAATTATTGTCTGGGGAGTGGGGAACTCAGAAATATCTTGGCCCAGCCCCTTCTGCTCGATGCCCTGCCCCTTCCTGTGTGGCCCAGGGCCACTTCAAAAATTTCTGAAGTGGCCTCTGGCAAAAAATTATTGCTTACCTCTGCCTTAGAGACTAACCAAAATATATAGAATCATGAGCTTGCGTGGGTAAAACCCACTTCATCTGATGAATTGGAGTGGAAATAACAGAAACCAAGATATGCCACAGGACCACTGGTTGTTTCCAAGATTGTAACTTGAAATAGCAGGGAAGATGAATGGATAAGTAAACAATCACCAACACATTTTGCCCAGGGAGAAAGATACACGCTGTCTATGATACATGCAGACACTCAAATACACATTAGGGATGTAAAGAAGTAGTCAACTGCTCATATTTTCCCCCACCTCTGCCTCTATATCAGAGGCAGCAATGGAATGGGGGTGGGAACCGCTTAAAAGCTTGTTTCCCCCAACACCGGCTCCGTGGTGCCACCTGCCTCCACCACATACTGCTGCCTCAGAGGCATCAGCCAGGGGAGGGGAGAGGAGGAGGCTCCCGTGAAGCAGCCCCTGTCCATGAGTGGTCTGAGCTCCCTGTGGACAGCAGCTGCTCCACATCTCCTGGAGCAGCCTCTGTCCGCGGTGAGCCTGGGCCCACCACGGGCAGAGGGCGCTTCACAGTAGTAGCCCCTGATTGTGAGGGTCCAAGCTTCCCATGGACAGAGGCTGCTCCGCATCCTGTATCAGAGGCAGCAGTGCGGGGTGGTAGGGAGCTCCCTGGGAGGGGGGCCAGGGGCACACTGGAAGCTAGCCCTATTGCTGAGGATTATCGAATAGTTGTGTAACCAATAAGAATTCATATGTTTACTCAACTATTCAGTTACCCATTAGCTAACATCCCTAATACACATCACCTTTGTTTCTTGTAAAATACACTTGCCAAGGTGCACTGCATAAAAATGCTCTTTCAGTGTGGCATTTAGGTGTGCCATTAAGCTTGTTCTGTTTCTGAAAGCAAACAGGTAGCTCAGTCATTACAGAGTATCTGAGGGTATGTCTACACTACCCCGCTAGTTCGAACTAGCGGGGTAATGTAGGCATACCACACTTGCTAATGAAGCCCGGTATTTGAATTTCCCGGGCTTCATTAGCATAAGCGGGGAGCCGCCATTTTTAAATCCCCGCTGCTTCGAACCCCGTGCAGCGCGGCTACACGGGGCTCGAACTAGGTAGTTCGGACTAGGGTGCCTATTCCGAACTACCGGTACACCTCGTTTCATTACCCTCCTAGTTCGAACTAGGAGGGTAGTGTAGACATACCCTGAAGCCTTATTGGTTGACTTCTTTGCTCATTGCAATCTATAATTTGGCAGTGTGCACTTATCGCTCATAAACACACTTGTGTTTTGCTGATAATTTCAGACTTCCAGACAGAGAGGGGAATACAGGAGGATACTTCAGGTATTGACTAAATGAATCCTGTTGCTGTATTTCACGAAATCATATTAAAAATTCTAATTACTTTCTTAATTCCCTCTCCATTAACTCTGCATGCATGAATGAATGTATCTGCTGATCCAGAAATGTGCAAAGGGGTAAGATACAGACCAGGTAAATTCCTTAGACACATTAGCAATTACAGTAAATGGGTCCTCATTCTAGAAATTGTTACAATAATAATTTCATCAGTCCCCAGACTCAGGCTCCCAAATGTACTGTCCACACCCAAGTCTCTGCATCAGTTTAGGCCAGTACTGAGGGAGCAACTGCTCCTACAGAATGCAACCTGTCTGGATTATCTATCGCACTTTGTCTGGTTTCTTCTCTCCCTTCTTCCTGTTCCTGTTAATATCATTCAGCCCGTAGGGGCTCCAGCTTACAAGTAAAGTACCTTTTCCCCATGCACTCTTTCACAGGTCTGCCAAGAAAACACTAAGGATTATCTACTTCTAAAGCTGAAAACTGTTGAAGCCAAAATTGAGTTCATACATAGCAGGGGCTGCAGCGTGTCACAGTTCTGGTAAATCTAAATATATGCATCTTCTATTAGTAGGGTTCCTCTATCAGAAGTCTACACACTTTGCCAGACTTGGAGCTTCTTCTTAACAGTGCAACTGATGCTGCTCCTGGTCTGGCAGACAGGCTGTCATTTATATCTCAGTGGCAACATATTTCATCCTGAGGATCCAACTTACACGCCATATGTTCATGGGCTTTTTTTAAAATGCATGCAATAATGAATTTATAATTCCATTTTTAGCTCTCCTAATATCAATTTACATTTACTTGGAATAATCTTCCTCTTTTAGATTGTACAAGCTGTGGTTTGCTGGAAATATCATTATTCCTCACAATGTCCATACCACTCCTGACCTCCTTTGACTATTATCCCATAACATCAACGTTGTTGACGCTGTCAGTATAAGGGGAGGGTTCTTAAGTCATATACAGCATGGTTGTTGTTGGATGCCTTTGAAAAATCTAATGTATAAAAATATTCTTGAGAGAATTTGGGTTGTGTAGAATAGGTGGTAGGCCAATGCAGCAGTAGGCCAATGCAGCAGTGTTTTATCTCTGTTGAGCTCTGTTCAAAACCTAGGTTGGCTCACAACTGAAAATCAGTTTAGTGATTTCAGGACAGAGCCCATTTGTGCTCATCTCTGAACCACACAAGATCTGACATAGTTTGCCATTTGCTCATGGGATTCTCAGGGCTAACACCAAAGCAAAGTTTTTTTTGCAGAACGTTGACTGACCTGTGTGACACTGCTTGCCAATCTTCTGTCTGTTCCAAATGAGTGATATTAAACCTTTACTTTAATAGGCACTTAACTGCAATGATAATTTCTAAAGTTATTTCACAATTATACTTAGTTGTGTGAATTCAGTTATGATCCTCTACCGGTATCTAACAAGGCACAAGAGGAAAGCCATAATTCCCTCTTCCACATAGCTAATGTAGCCATTAAATGAACTAAGTGGCTACCCTAATTAGATTTTGCCTACTTTACCTTTAAAGAAAAACCAATGGAGACCTGCAGCTATTAAAGTGTGTACGGTATCTATTTTTCTCTCCATATGTAAAATGTGTATATAAAAAATTACTATATTTTTTTCCTGAATACTAAATGTCATTTGTCATAACTTACAGCATAAATGAAACTGACTCTTCTTGTGAAGCAACCGGAAGGTATTATTTCCATTTGCAGTATATTTGGTCAGAACCATTTGCTTCCTCAGAATCTCCTTAAAAATTAACTGGCAGCTTTGTTAAATGCAATGGTTCCCAATCTTTTAAAGGCAGTTGTGCCAGTATACCTGTTTATAGGCCTGCCCATGAGCTGCACCAATCCTTTTCTGCAAAGTGTTAAGTGCTCTCAACTCTTCTTGATATCACTGGGAGCATAGGGCACTCAGCATCCTGCAGGATTGCACCCACAAATGTCCCGTTGTAATGCTGACACCTGCAGCCTCCCATTTGTTCACATGTTCTGTAATCAGCAGTGGCTCCTGTGCTGCTCCAAATCCTAGTCTCACCATTGCACACACACTGAATGTGGGGTGACCAGCAACACCATGTGGAAGTGCATCAATAAGGGGCCAGTCTTGTTCCTAT